ATAAATGAAAAGGAAACCCATTTTAATGTTTCATTCTACAGCAGTTAACATGTTATAGCCTCAGCTACAGTAAACAGGCCCATCTTTATATATTTAACAGTGATTCTTGAAGTTGTCTGGTAACAAAATACATAGAAATATGGTGCTATTTTTAGAACACTGATCTAAATGAGAATTATCATATGTATACACTAGTAATTGTAGGCTGTGTGAGAATTCTACTAAGAACAAATTGTAGCAGATGCTAAAGGTTAAGGGGAAACATATGTGTTTCAAAAGGTACATTGTGGCCACAAGAAAATCTCAATAATACACATATAATACTCAGAATTTAAGCCAGGTAGCTTTCTGGAGAAAGCTTCAAAATTATTAGTTTTTGTCTTATAATCAGTTGTTGAATGATTTAACCAGATATACTATATTATTAGGTAAATGCAGGGTATTATGTTGAGTGACTCCAGGAGATGTAATTTATGTTATATTCATATGCTAGCAACTGAATGATGAAAAATATTTGCCCAAGATGATAATTTGGACTTCAGAGAAGATGATCCTATGCACCTTTTATTCTGATAATAATCAGCTATGAGAACCAAATGTATGTTGAAGCCATGCCTAGAAGTGTGTGTCATTAGAATCAACTTCTTCAGAGTCCCTTTTAAGGCAGCTGGGCCTGGCGGGGCCCAGACAGGAAAGCTCCAGTTGATCCTTGTCTGAGTGCTCACTGATGCCCCTTCCACCGGCTCCAAATTAGTGCTGCCTCTGGCCAGTTAGAGGGAAGGACTTGCTTATCTGAATCTTGGAAGTCACAGTCTTGGCTTGTTTCAGGAAGGAGCGGGGCGGGGAGGGGATGAAGGGAATGCTGACAATCTATCTGGCCTGTCTGGTTTTCCCTCAGATTTATAAGCAGATGCAGCAAATCTAGTCAGTCTGATCTGAACCTGCCCTGCCTCCTACATCTGTGATTTCTCCGTCGGTCTCACTGACTGACCCCTTTAGTGTTCTTTGGGGATGATATCTGACTATGAGTCAAAATGAGTTCTGATGGAGGAAGAAGAATGAAGCAGAGTAGTTACTCGAATATTCTTAAAGCCCTGCAATGCCACCAGTGAATATACAACTGGAATGTATACTAGTAGTCTCTGGTCTTCAGCCTTGGAGGTATGTGGGGAAGATTTCCAGAGGCTAGTCCAGATGCATTTACAGCCCAAAGGCCTGGCAGGCAGAAGAAGCTATGAAAGTCTACGCACATGAGAAATTTCAAGAGCTAGGGTCTTCCTCCTTATCCTCACCCCCACAAAACTTAACTGAATAAAAAGAAATCAAATATCCAGTCAAATATCCTGAGTAATGGAAAATGATAGTGAAAGAGCATAAGATGGCCATTCAAGACACACAATACTAGTCTCAGCTTAGGTGCTAATTAGCTGTTGGAAGACACCTAAATTCTGTGGCTGTTTCCTCATCAGTAAGTTATGGAGGTTAGGTATTTTGGTTGCTTTCAAAGGGCTCTCTGGTTGTGCGCATTCAGAATTCTACGGAATCTGTGGAACACGCATTGCATTCCATAGTGTGCTTGCCAGGCAGAATAAGAAATGGAGCCAGGGTTGCTGTTTTTATTGCTTCTTTAGCAGGGAGATATGACTATAGTGGCACAGAAGATATAGCTACTTCATTTAGAGTGTGGGGAAAAAACTGATTTTTTCTGGAAGGCCACTAACTTTATTGATTTAAAAAACTTTATATGGACAGTGACTGTTTTGCCAAAAGAGAAGCCAAATGTCATTAAACAGACCAGAGGTGAGAGTGGGGGTGAGGGAAGGGGCCAGAAATCCACTCAGAAAAGCTGATTATTGGCCTGAAACTGGCAGAGGAAAGAGAAGGGAGATGCATGCAAGAGTGAGAATTCCAAAAAAGTTGAAATGATGAGGGGAGAGAACTCCCCCAAAGACCCGGAGGACATCGGTGGTGAGTAGACAGCAATCCTTTCCTTTGTAGAGGACAAGGGAGTAACCCCCACTCAGCTGCAAACTCTGAAGACTCAAGGCTGGGGTTTGGGATTGGGGGCTCCCCAGAGAGCATCACAAGAAGGTGTCACACCACTCTCGAAGGCACCCAAAGCAGTCCTGGGACTGCCTGGCATTGGGGCCACATGTGTCCTTTAGCCATTCCCAGAAGAGTTCTTCATCTTCTTTAGCACCAGAAACTGGCCAAGGACCACATAAGCCTTGTCAAAGCACCTTTCCTCCAGCTTCTTGCCCAGGACTTCACCAATCCCGGCCAGGCTCCCCACTGGCTTTTCCCCCATGGGCTCTGCCACGAAGTCTCCGTGCTTTTGGGAGGCTGTCATCTTGATCAGGATTAATTGGCAGTTCCAGCTCCCGTAATGGCTCCTCCAAAGAATGGCTTTTTGCCACTAAGTTGAACTTGCTGTCTTTGCATGCCTTCTTGGAGCCTAAGCAGTTTCCATAATACCAAGTGTCCTCAATTTCACTCCCTGTCTTTCATGTCCTCACCCATGTTCTACTCTTAAGATGAATGGATTCATAATCAGGAGGTCCCACATCTGATTAGATCTCTGATTTATTTTCCTGACCCAAGGCCAGTCACCTTTTCACTTAGATCTTAGTCTCACATGCAATATGAGGTTGTTAAAGCAGCCACAAATTATTCTGAAGTGGCTTTCTATTATAAATTTGAAGATACCAGTAGCTTTGAAGGCTAATTCAATTTTTGTGGGATTAAGAAAAAAGAAATGCAGGTGAACCAAATGTGATTTTATTTTATTTTTTCAAATGTAATTTTATAATGATCCATAAATCATCTCCTCTTCACCATCACCACTTTTATCTTTCTAAGTCTACTCTTCTTGGGCTGATATTAAAATTGATTATTTTTAATTCACTGAGTTAACATGGATTGAGAAACAGACACACTGACTTAAAAATGAAAGTATGAGCTTAGGTTATCTACAAACTGATTAGCAATAAAGATTTGATAATATCAGCAAGGCCACAGGTTGTGAGTTCATAGATATTCAGATCATGTGTGAGATAAATCACTCACAAAAAGAAGTTCAGTGAACCCTGGATAGATCTTTCTGTGCCAGCTGGAAATCCCCATATCTTCATACCTGAGTTACGGGGTTCAAAAATGATATTGGGGACTGCACCTTTATGGCTTTTATTTAAACCTCAATCAAACATATTTTGGGTACCCAGAGAGCCGTGCTCTCTGTAGGTTAGATATGTAGAAGCATTTATGTTGATAGGAATTTAGAGATGTGATACTTTGGATATTCTCTCTAGTTCCACCATTTCATGGCAACCTGAGACATGTAGACCAACTCAAGGCTATCGAAGAAAATAAACTAGGTCTGACAGTCAGAGCTACAAAACGTAGGGCTCTGTGTACTTAATCGGATATGAGAAGATCAGTGGTGGCCTATGTTATGCCGCGGTGCTAGACGAAGATGGCGTGTCTGGCCAGTAATTAGGAGGCATGTGCTGCCCAACCTGATCTAGAACTGATTTTCTTAGAGACAGGACAGACCTTGGTATCACCAAATTGCACACAAATTCTTTTTTAATCTTTAGAGGACATGGAACTGTAAATGTTATCATCAACAACAAATGAGACTTGTACACTTGAAACTGAAAACTATCATGGAAAGAAATTAAAGAAAATCTAAATAACTGGAAAGGCAATCTGTGTTCTTATGTAGAAAGACAATATTTGTAAGATGGCAGTACTCCCAGAATTTATATATATATAACTGCCAAAATTCCAGATGGATTTTTTTTCTGAAAAAGGTCAAGCTGATTATAACATTCACATAGGGAACAAAGGGATTTAGACTATCTAAAACAGTCTTCAAAAAGAGAACAAAGTTGGAAGACTCATACTGAACGATTTTAAAACTTACTGCAAGCTCAGTAATTAAGGCTGTGCTCTTGGCATAAGGATACACATATGGACCAACAGAATAGAATTGAGTCCTGAAATAAACCCATATGCCTATGGCTGTTTGATTTTTGAGAGGGTGCCAAAATAATTCATTAGGGGAAGAAGTGTCTTTTGACAAACTGCTAAAACAACTGGATATCCACATGCAAAAAATGATGGTGAATCCCTGCCTCACACCATATGCAGAACTTAACTCAAAATTGATCAAAGACCTATATCTATAAATTTCTTAAAAAAACATAGGTATAAATCTTCATGATTTAAGTTAAGCAAGTTTCTTAACTATGACACCAAAAGCACAAGCAACCCCCCAAAAATAGATAAATTGGACTTTATCAAAATTAGAAATTATTGTGCTTCAAAGGACACTATCAAAAGTAAAAAAAACCCAAAAAAAACAACAGCAACCCAAAACACACAAACAGACAAAATGGGAGGAAATATTGCAAATCATATATCACATAATGGTTTAGTATTCAGAATATATAAAGAACACTTACAGCTCAACAATAATAGACAAATAGCCCAATTTAAAAATGGGTAAAGGATTTGAATAGACATTTCTCCAAAGTATATATATAAATGGCCAATGAGTACATTAAAGGATGCTCAGTATTATTAATCATCAGGGAAATGCAAATCAAAACCACAATGAGATACCCATTTCACATCAGTTAGAGAGGCTATTATAAAAAAAGAAGTTTTGAATAGGACAAAAAGGCAACCTGTGATGTCCATCTTTAAAATATATATCTATATATCTATGTGTCTATATGCCTATATATCTACATATCTATATACCTATATATCTATAGATATATCTATATCTATCTATATATATTATATATATAATACATATATATATATATATATATATATATATATATATATATAGAGAGAGAGAGAGAGAGAGAGAGAGAGAGAGAAACTTTAGAGAGGCAGGGAGAGGGGGAGAAAGAGATAGAAACATCAATGATGAGAGAGAATTGTTGATGGATTATCTCCTGCACTCCCCACACTGGGAATCAAGCCCACAACCTGTGTATATGCCCTGACTGGGAATTGAACTGTGGCCTCCTGGTTCATAGGTTGACACTCTGCCACTGAGCCACTCTGGCCAAGCGTGATATCCATCTTTATTTCCCTCTAACATTGGAGCCCCTGTTTCTCTGACCTTCTGACTTTAGGACTTAAATAGTGACCCCTGGTTCTCAGACCTTTAACCTTGGACTGAATTATGCCACCTGTTTTCTTGGTTTGGCAGATAATGGGGCGTCTTGGCCTCCAGAACCTCATGAGCCAATCCCTATAATAAATCTCCTCATGACACATATGTATATCCTATTGGCTGGGTTTTTCTAGAGAACCCTTACTAACACAATAGATGAATCTTCAAAACAGGTGAATGTTAAAGAAGCTAGATACAAAAGGCCACAAATTGTGTGATTCAATTTACATGAAATGTCCAAAATAGGCAAATCCATAAAGACAGAAAATAAAGTAGTGATTGCCAGGGATTGGGCATTGGGGAGTGATTGCTATTGGTACTAGTTTCTTTTTGGGGCTGATGAAAATATTCTAAAATTAGATAGGAGTGATGGTTACAAAACTTTGTGAATACACTACAAATCACCAAATTGTACATTTTAAAAGGGTAAATTTCATGGTACGTGAATTATATCTCAATAAACAAAAACCTAAAGCAATGTTAAAGATAATTCTAATTTGAAAAAAAAAAAGTTTATGAGAATCTACCTGGGAAGCAGATTTTAAAGCCACAGGACCTGCCTGAAGATCCAAATCCCTGTTTACTAGCTCTGGGATCTGGAGCAAGTTACTTCTCTGTGACCCATTTTCTTAGATGTGAAATACTTAGAACAGTGCCTAACACATGGTGAGTGTTATATAAATGTTTGTCACTTTAACTATATGCCATAAAATGTACTAAGCCATAGTGGAAAGCAAAATCCAGTATCAAGGAAGCAGGGCTGGGCATAAATGTCAGTTAAGGAGGAGCAGAGCAAGGGTGGAGTTTAACACTCCATTTGATTTATTGCCTGAACTCTGCCCCATCTGACACATGGAAAGAGACGAGGTTAGTGGAAAAGAAGGGAGAAATAATGCGGATTGAGGACACAATACCTTCTTACCAGGACACTGGAGAAAAGGTCCAAGAATATGTTAGGGGAGACATACAGAAGAGGAAACCAGAGCAAGAGGTGGTGACCAGCATTTAATATGTTTTTGTTCAGTTTAAATAAATATTAAGCAATGACTTTTGAGGGTTTTCTTCTGGAATTTAGACACTAAACTCATTATCTTTGTTCTGTCCTGTCTTTATTGGGATCCTTGTTGCCTCTTCATTTCAAAAGATAAGATCAAACAAACCTTTAAAGTTCACGTTACTGTCACAGTTTTGTTTCCCAGGACAAATCAAGAACCCAGAAGAACCCAGGGAGGTGGCAGGTTTTTTGTTTTGTTTTGCGATGCTCATATCCCTTTGCTTTGAGCTGCTTTCTGCGTCTTTGTAGGGATACATCTACAATTCTTGATCTCTTTTTGTAGCTCTTGCTCTTCCTGTTAACAGCAAATACAGATTCTATTAGAAGGACTGGGTTACATACCCACGTTGAGGGATGGATATAAGGTACTAAATTCCTCACTTAAAATGATAGAGAAAAACTGTTGTCCACCCTTCCTCTTGTTTTACACTTCTGAATCCTCTTGTATGTAAATATGTTTTTTATGTTTTTGGTTTCATCATAGTTGTGCTTTCTGAGATATTCTGCACTGGATAGCGATAGATGCCTTGTCTTTTTACTCTTTATATGTTTCATAATCCTTTACATACAACCCTCTGACAGAGATGTTAATTAGCTCACGGTCACACACAGGAAGTTGTTGACCCAGGGCCATAACAGACCTCATGATTCCTTTGCATGTATTGGGACAGAATTACTCCCTTTCACTGTACATTTCTTCTAGAACCTTCTTTTTTCTTTTTAAAAAAATTTTATAAGAGTTTATTTGAACCAAACTGATGATATATGCCAGGAAGCAAGATCTCAAATGCCCCTGAGAATAACAGTTGCAGTTTCCTTTATGTGTCTGAAATTACGTGGAGGTGGAGGAAAACAAATCAGGGATTAGTTTATAGGATAGTTAACAAGACTATGTTCTCTCTTGAGTGTAGTTATTTCAATAGTGTATTAACTCAGATGCATAGAAACAATGGACAAGGCTTGCTTAAGGCAATGATAAACTTTTTTACTAAAGAAGTTATGTGCCTGGGACATGCATGACTACCTACCATTACCTGCCTAGTTAGGGATTTATGATCAGATTACCCTGCGAGGTTGCTTTCCATAGAACCCCTCCCCCACCCCCAACCATCACTTTATTTCATTCAGTTCCATTTTTTTTTGGTCATAAATCAACCTAAAGAATGAATTTAAATTCAAAAACTCTGAAGTAATTTATATAAAAAAAGAACAGGGTAGTTGAAAATTTAAGATTTGAAAGAAGCAGATACTTTACAGAGGAAGATGAGAAAATTATAGTAGAAGCCCAGGTAAGATTTACTGTAAGGATGCATTAATCTTAGATCTCAGGAAATAATTATCTTATTCCTATGTGATATGTAGACATATGAGTATCTTAATTATGGTGTTATGTCATCATAGTTATGCTGCATAGTATGAAGTTCTTATCCAAAAAAAGGAGAGGTCATTTGAAGATGTCATAATTAGAAAAGTGATAATAATAATTATTACAGGAATATTTTTATTCCTATACTTATACTACTATGCACTAGCTATTGTTCTAAGTATCATTTACTTTTTACACTGGCTCTTCATGAGATAATATTGTAAACCCAGTTTAACGGATGAGAAAACTGAGGCTTAGGAGAGCTGAATTTGCTCAAGAGTACACAGCTAATTAGTAGTAGAGATGGGTTTACTGGATTTCAGAAATGGACTGGGCTATGCTTCTGAAACTGGTAACAAAAATGAAAGTGAACTGGATCCTAGAAATATGCCCTTTGGCCTTTATTGTGGAAGATGTACTAGTAAAAAGACCTTAAGGAAAGAAGTGCCTGAAAACAGCATCTTATGCATACACTAGTAAATTCAGGAGCACTAAGTAAGGGATTAAGGCAGATGGCTGAGGGTGGCAGCTGTTGGGCTGCAGTGTGGTTAATGAAAGTGTAATATGCAAATTGACCAAATGGCCAGACAGCAGAATGACCTTCCAGATGACCTGACGGACGAAGCTGAGGCTGCGAGGGCCTACCCTTACACGAATTTTGTGCATTGGCCTCTTGTATGAAGATAAGAAGTCAGTTATAGTAGAATTGCAATTTTCTACTTAAGAAAATACATGCTTACACACCTCACACACCCACATCCACATCCATGCACATCCACACTGGTTCTGCACTTTTAGCTCATTGAATTTGTTTTCCAACTATTCTCTCAATATTTAGTTAGTCTTTTGACACTTTCATTGCATTACACCAATATTAAGAGGAAAGGGATTTTACCCACATTTATGCCAATGCTTTGCAAGAAAGCCACATCCCCTGGAGACCATTGTGGTGGGGTAGTCATAGTTAAAGTTAGAGAACCTCCAGTACAACATAATATTCAGAAACACTGAGCTGGAACCCTTGGTCTGAAAAGTAATTATGGTACACTAAAGAATTCTTGCTAGAACAGGAATATGTAACTGTTACCACTGAAGAACATGTTTATGTTCTCATTAATTCTCAATAGAATCCTTTCAGGCAAGTGAGCATAATTATCTTAGTTGTAAAAATTAGGAAACTAAGGCTTTACAAGGTTAAGATACATCCATTCATCTCTGACACTGGCCCCTGTGTTTTCTCTACCACAGTTTCCTGGAGGTGATACATTAACTTTGTTCCTGGAAGTTCCAACTTGGCTCTCTCCCAGGTAGGAAGGATAATGCCTTTACCAAGCAACAAGAAGAACTTAACTCCAGGTCTTCACCTTGACTTTAGGACAACAGAACCTTCTAAGAAGCCACAAATCTTGATTTAGTGCTTCTCCCTCATCTTTAATTCTGATCACCAGGTCTTTGGGAAGGTTCCCTCCCCTACCTTCTGCGTTTTCTGTCACCCTCAGCCAATTTTCTTCTTTGATGTCTCTGCTTTCAAACACTAAGTTGGAGCCCTTGGTCTGAAAAGTAATTACAGTACACAAATGAATTCTTGCTAGAACAGAAACATGTTCCTGTTCTGCCTTCCAGCCTTTCTACCTTTCCATTTCCTTATTATGAAATACTAGTGACCCAGTGCATGGATTCGTGCACATTGAAAGGAAATTAATTAGAAAGTGGCCAGTGGGGCAGGACTGGGCTAGATGGGCTGGACACGCCCTGGAGCCAACCTCCTGAGGTCCCTCCCCGGCATCTGTGGAGTGAGCAGGGTCCCTCCAGCAGGTAGGGTCCCTCTGCCTAGCCTGCGGGGATCAGGTCGAAACCGGCTCTCCGACATCCCCTGAGGGGTCCCAGAGTGCAAGAGGGCGCTCTGTAAAGTTGCTGTTGTACAGGGTGTGGAACACAAACGCAAGTGTGCAGTAAACCAGATTCAGGGCCGACAGTGCCTCAGCAACAACATCACCCATTGCAGAAGGTGGAATCATACGGCCCCCATGAGGAATCGGGCTCCCTCCTCTCTGGTTTCAGGGTGCATTACCTGAGAACAGCTGCTGCCAAGTCACTGCAGCTCAGCAGCTCCTGTATTGAGCATCTGCCCCCTGGTGGTCAGTGCACATCATAGTGACCAGTTGAACTGTAGGAGACTTTGCATATTTGCCTTTTATATACATAGATTAAGACTTAATTCAACCATTCCTGACTGGTACAGCTATATGACTGCCTCTCAGTATGGGAGACAGGTGAAGAAGGGAGGGAGGACGGGAGAGACTGGTGCATATTGATTGTAATCGGCCTGGCACTGTGTTAGGTACTTTACATGAATTATCCTATATAACTTTTGTAGATTAAAAAAAGGGGGGGAGGGGTTTCTATGGAAAGTAACCTTACAGGGTGATTTGAGCATAAATTCCTAACTGGGCAGGTCATGATGAGTAGTTATGCCCCAGGTAAAACTTTTTAGTAAAAGGTTTATCTTTGCCTCAATCAAGCCCTCTCCATTGTTTTTGTGTATCTAGGTTAACACACTTTTGAAATAACCACCCACAGGAGAGCACATAATCTTAACTATTTTGTAATCCAACCCCCGCTTTGCTTTCTCCCTTTTCCTTCATTTCAAATGCATAAAAGAAACGGCAAAACTGTTATTTCCTGGAGCATCTTAGATCTTGCTCCCTGGCATGTGTCAGTTTGACCCATATAAACTCATAACAATTCTCTATAGGTTTGGACTTTTTTATGTCAACACTTTTAACAGTCTTGGATGGTGGATTTTTTGTTGTTGTTGTTAATCCTCACCTGAGGATCTTTTTATCATTGCTTTTCAGAGAGAGTGGAAGGGAGAGAGGGGGAGAGAAACAGAAATGTGAGAGACACATTGACTGGTTGCCTCCCACAGGCGCCCCAACCAAGGGCGGGGAGCAAACCCACAACAAAGGTACGTGCCCTTAACCAGGAGTCAAACTTGTGACTCTTTGGGCAACACTCTAACCACTAAGCTACACTTGCCAGGACTTGGATGGTAGATATTCTTGTCTCCACTTTTCAGAGGCTCAGACAGTTAGAATACCTCGTACACAGTCATGATGGCTGGTAGAACTCAGCTTTCAAATAGAAGCCCGACTCCAAAGCTTCTTCTCTTACTACTACCTCTTAGGAAATTATAGGCAGAGTAGGAATAGGAACAAACACTTGTGAGATTCTGGGGCTGCCATGACATGGATAGGAAGATGAAGAATTTGAGAGAGGCAAGGTGGAATAACTGGTTGAGGGGCCTTGTTGGTTGGCCAGCCCTGTTCCGGTGTGATTCACTTCCTGCTGCTCTCTAATGCTTCTTCACTGCCCGCAGGAGGGCCCTGGTCCTTAAACTAGGAAGGGAAGGAATGGCAAGGTCAGGCCTCCAGACATTCAACGAATTACTTACCAAACCAGAACTAGAACTCTGAACCTCCAACTCGGTTATCTTAGCACCAGGTCAGCGCCCAGAGGCACCCAGCTCTGAAGCAAGCACACCCACTCCTGAGGGGACATCTGCTGTTCGCTCCTGGCTGTGTAGAATGAGCTGGTTAAGTGTTCCCAGAAGTGTCTTTTTTATCTTGCCAGGTATTTGTTTTTGTTTACCTGGGATTACATTTCATGTTTGGAATCTTTACAGTGACACACCCTGTTTGACAGCAGACTGAGTGAAACAGCAGCTGAGTGGATTTCCTGATTGTGAAATCCCCTGGCCATTTGTGCCTCTGCCTGCCTGGGTCTGGGATGCGTTTACCAGAGAATGAGAAACTGTGTGCACGCACTGTGGGACACGTGCCTGTGAGTGTGTGCTGTGTGTGTGTGTGAGTGTGTGTGTGAGTGTGTGTGTGTGTGTGTGTGTGTGTGTGTGTGTTCCTGAAATCATTTGCAGGCTGTCTTTCCATCCTCCTCAGCTGGGGCCTCCTCTCTGCCAGAGGGCAGTGTGCTAGAACAGGCTGGAGTAGAGGCCAGAAAACAGAATTGGTCTCCTTACTTAAGAGGGGAAACACCAAAAGATTTCGAATGTACCAGAAATCCTTCTTTTAGAAGGAAAAGCCGAGCGGGATGAGTTGCAAAGAGGGAGGCTGATCCCTGAAAATACAATGTGACCGACAACAGTAGGAACAAGGTGTCTGAAAGAAGCCAGGAGAGCAGCACACCCAGGTGTCTTCTGGAGAGTTACCCAGGTAGGAGGAAGGAGACACAGATGGGTCAGGGGCAAATCTGTGTTTAGAGGGGGGTGCTCTTTGTGTGTTCTTGACTTTTTCCTCTTCTTTTTAAAATTTTTTTAAATTAATTTCAGAGAGGGAGGGAGCGAGAGAGGGAGATCAAAACATCAATGATGAGAGAGAATCAGTGATCAGCTGCCTCCTGATCATGCCCCACACTGGAGGATTGAGCCCGCAACCTGGGCGTGTGCCCTGACTGGGAGTCAAACCATGACCTCCTGGTTCATAGGTCGACGCTCAACCAGTGGGCCACACCGGTCGGGCTTCCCTCTTCTTTCTTTAAATTTATTTTTATTGTTGAGAGTATTACAGATGTCCCCCTTTTCCTCCCCTTTGCTCCCCTCCATCTGGCTCCTACCTCACCCCCGGCCTTCACCTCACTATTGTACGTGCCCATGGGCTATGCGTACAGGTATATAGGTTCTTTGGTTAATCTCTTCCTGTTGCCTCTCCCACCTTCCCTCTGAGATCTGTCAGTTCCATGTTTCTATGTCTCTGGATCTATTTTGTTCGTCAGTTTATTTTATTCTTTAGATTCCACATATAAGTGAGATCATGTGATAGTTGTCTTTCTCTGACTGGCTTGTTTCACTTAGAATAATACTCTCCAGGTCCATCCATGAGGTCTCAAAGAGACCCTTCATGTTTGCAGCTGCATAGTATTCCACAGTATAAATGTACCACAGCTTTTTTATCCACTCATCTATTGAAGAGTACTTGGGCTCTTTCCAGATCTTAGATATTGTAAATAATGCTGCTATGAACATATGGGTGCATATATTCTTTCTGATTGGTACTTGGGATTCTTTTTATATATATATATATATTTTATTGATTTTTTTACAGAGAGGAAGGGAGAGAGATAGAGAGTTAGAAACATCGATGAGAGAGAAACATCGGTCAGCTGCCTCCTGCACAGCTCCTACTGGGGATGTGCCCGCAACCCAGGTACATGTCCCTGACCGGAATTGAACCTGGGACCCTTCAGTCCACAAGCCGACGCTCTATCCACTGAGCCAAACCAGTTTCGGCTACTTGGGATTCTTAAGATATATTCACAGAAGTGGAATCACTGGCTCAAAAGGCAGTTCCATTTTTAATTTTTTTTAGAAACTCCATACTGTTCCCCCCACCCCCCACTGTGGCTGCACCAGTCTGCATTCCCAACAGCAGTGCATTAGGGTTTCCTTTTCTTCATATCCTCTCCAACCCTTGTTATTTGTTAAGCATTTTTTTTCATATGTCTATTGTCTATCTATATGTCCTCTTTGGAGAAGTGTCCATTTTTTTTAAAAAAATTGGATTGTTTGTCTTCTTCTTGTTGAGTTGTACGAGTTCTTTATATATTTTTTAAATTAACCCCTTATCAGGTATATCATTGACAAATATGTTTTCCCACACCTGGCTTCCCTTTGCATTTTAAGGACGGTTTCTTTTGCTGTGGAGAAGCTTTTTGACTTTTTCTTCTTCTGGACATCCCTTATTCTGGGCTGGGGAAATTGCTATCGATTAGTAATCCTAGGAATAGAAAATAATCAGAGGGAGAATGTCTAATTTAAGATATATTATTTCTGAGTCAGAGAAAGACAAATCCCATCTGATTTCCTTATATGTAGAATCTAAGAAAACAAAATAAAAAAACATAATACCTGATATATATATACATATAGTAGTTGTTCAGTATATGTTTGCTGGATCTGAAAAAAGGAAGGACAGCTTACCTTCAGAATGTTGGAGATAATTCTGGAATCCTCTAGATCTGAGCAGTTCTCTATTTTTCCCCTAATTTAATATGCTCATTCCACCTGAGTTTTTTGCTTGTTTGTTGTTTCTTTTGCTAGAGAGCTCACGGGTAAGGATGAAAAGGGGAGGAGAAGGGAAGACTGAGTGACGGAGCTAGAAGGCAGACTCTCAGTCTGGGGGCTGCTATCTCCATATATTTTACCTCCCCTCACTTTAGGTCCTTGTGTCCTTTGCCCCATAGCCCATAGCTTTTAATAACTACCTTAACCCAGGGTGGCATCCATCCAGAAAGG